GGGGGAGAAGTTTTTGCTATAGGGCGCGTGCTCTCACCAGAAAGACAGAGAGACAGAAGGTGAGAAATTACCGAAATTACCCCCCCCCCGCCAGGGGGATGGCCATGCCACAATCCCTTCTCCTCCATTCTCTTCTTGGGATTTTGGGCATGCACGCACACACGCCCAGCATGAGCTTAAGCCACCGGGTCTGGGACTTGAACCACAGTTGACTACATGGGAGTTCAGCAACATAGCCATTATGCTAACTGCTGGTCTCCTTTTGCTATGTTTTAAACTTGAAGTTTTTTTACACTTTCCTGTCTTCTACTAACTGGTAAAATTTTAAAAATTCTCTTTCCTCCAATTTCTGTCAGTATAAAAGATACAAATTATATTTTCATTGTATTTAATTATCTATTCTACTTTTTTCATCATATATATTTCACTATCATTGTTCTGAAAGAGTCTGAAATTACTTCATATTTCTGTCTTTCTCCTGTACATGACAAGGGTCTTAACATATCACACTCTGGCACTGAAAAAAAAAACTCTGCCATATATACAACATATTTGGAGTTTCTATCTAAAGGTACACTGTCCAATTTGGTAGCCAATAGCCCCATATGGCTTTTGAGTCCTTGATATGTGGCCAATCTGAATTTACATGTAATCTAAGTGTAAAATACATGCTGTATTCAAAGATAGCATAAAAAGATGAAAGTAAAATATCTTAATAATTTTTATACTGATTATATGTTGAAAGAATATTTTATAATATATCAACAAATTATTAAAAATTAATTTTGTCTCTTTTTTCTTTTTTAATGTGACTACTATAAAATTTTAAATCACGTATGTGGGGGCCAGCAGGTGAAGGTACTAGACTCCCACATGGCCAACCGTGGTTCAAGTCTCAGACCCAGCAGTTTGAAAATCACGCTGGGTACTTGTGCATGTTTGCCCAAGATCCTAGTAGGGGAATAGAGAGAGGACTGCAGCATGGTCATACCCCCTAGGGGGTGATTTCTCACTTTCCCTCTCACTGTCTCTCTTTTTCTGTCTCTCTCCAGCAAAATCTACAAAAAAATCTACAAAATCTACAAAAAAAAGAAAAAAAACTATGTGAACAGTATAAACTTTTTTTAATTTGAATTACTCAATTTTATTTATTCATTCATTCATTTATTATTAAATTTGACCTGAAAGACAGAGACAGAGAGAGAGAGAGGAAAAGTCAGAAAGCAAGCCACCAGGTCTGGGGCTTGAACTGTGGTCACCCATGTGGGAGTGTCCAGACCTTAACCACCATGCCACCTACTGGTCCCCAGTGAACAATATTACCTTTCTATTGGACAGTGCTAATCTAGAGTTTTAGTTTTAAATGTATCCTCCATAAAACCCTAATTTATCTTCTTTCTGCTATTAAGAATTAATAACTTTTAACAACATAATTCTTCAGTCTGAGTTAAAAGTTTACTTGGATATGAGGCTGGTAGATGGTGTGGTAGTTAGGGGCACTGGACTCCCACATGGCCAACTGTGATTCAGGTCCCGGACCTGGAGGCTTACTTCTTTCTTTCTTTTTTTTTTTGGAGAGGTTTTTTCGCTATAGGGCGTGTGCGCTCACCAGAAAGAGAGAGAGAGACATAGAGACAGAAAGCAAGAAGTCACCCCCCAGAGGGGATGGTCACGCCGCAATCCCTTCTCCTCCGTTCTACTCTCAGGATATTGAGCATGCATGCACATGCGCCTGGCCTGAATTTAAGCCACCGGGTCCAAGACTCGAACCGTGGTTGGCTACATGGCAGTTCAGCACCATAGCCATTACGCTAACTGCTGGTCCCATGGAGGCTTACTTTCTTACTCCCCCCACCCTTCTCTCTCACTCTGTCCTTCTCTGGTCAAATTTAATTAATTAATTAATTATCTAAAAAAAAGTTTACTTAGATGTGAAAGGACAGTTAGGTTATTTTGCCTTAACATTGGAGATTTTTTTTTTTTTGGAGAGGTTTTCGCTATAGGACACGTGCGCTCGCCAGAAAGAGAGAGAGAGACATAGAGACAGAAAGCAAGAAGTCACCCCCCAGAGGGGATGGTCACGCCGCAATCCCTTCTCCTCCATTCTCCTCTCGGGATCATGGACACGCACGCACACGTGCCCGGCATGAGTTTTAAGCCACGGGGTCCGGGACGTGAACCACGGTCGACTACGTGGGAGTTCAGCGACATAGCTATTACGCTAACTGCTGGTTCCCAATATTGGAGATGTTAATATTACTTCATTTTCTCCTGAAATCAACTGTTGTTGCTGAGAAACTTCCTGTTAGTTTAATTATTGTAACTCTGTAGATAATCTGGCCTCAAATTTTGGTGGCTTTTAGGATTTTCTCTTCATCTTGATATTACAGTTTCACTACAACTTGTCTAGATATAGATTTATCTTCATTTAACCTGCTTGAAACACTGAAGTTTCTTTCGATTTGAGAAATCAGGTCCTTCTCTAAGAATGCTAAAAATTCTCAGGCATTGTATATTTAAAAATTAGTTCTCCACCAATCTTTACACTTTCATTTCTGTAACTCTTCATATACTTTGGAGATGCTCAATCAATCCTCAGTCTTTTAACTACTCTGTCATATTTTTATCTTTTTTTTTGTGTTCTAGATGAATTCTTTAGTACTATTTTCTGACTCATTAATTCATTCATCACTGGTATAAAGGGTAAAGTTTATTTCATCCCAACTATTTCTTTTTTTTTTTTTTGGAGAGGTTTTTTCGCTATAGGGCGTGTGCACTCGCCAGACAGACAGAGAGAGACATAGAGACAGAAAGCGAGAAATCCCCAGGGGGGATGGTCACGCTGCAATCCCTTCTCCTCCATTCTCCTCTCGGGATCTTGGGCACGCACGCATACATGCCTGGCGTGAGTTTTAAGCCACCGGGTCCGGGACGTGAACCGTGGTGAGTACGTGGGAGTCCAGTGACATAGTCATTACGCTAACTTCTGGTTCCCCCAACTATATTTTTAATTTCTAAGAATTCCAGTTGGTTCTTTGTCTACATTAACCAGTTTTTGTCTTATTGCTTTTGTTTCATAGTTTTTAGCTCTCTTTAATTGGAAAGTATCCCTTAATTTATTTGAGCATCCTAAAAATTTCTCCCAATCAATGGAATACTATACATCTGTTAAAAAGAATAAGATCATCCCATGGGTACTAAAATGGAATGAGCTCTAAATATATTACTAAGTGAAAAAGGCAGGGAATATAAAGTTTGTATAGAATGCTACCACTTATATAAAAGGGTATATGTGTGTATATAATTATACATGCATAAACTATCTCAGAAAGGATAGCATAAAATTGGTAATAGTGGTTACCTCTGGGGAGGGAAACTGGGTGGCTAGGCGACAGAGGTGGAGATAGACTTACTTTTCACTGTTTACCCTTTTGTACCTTTGAATTTTGTACCACGTGCATGTATTACCTAGTCAAAAAAAAATAAATAAAATAATTTATTTTAAAAAATAAAGTCTTTGTTGGACTTCTCCATAAAATTAATTTCATCCAGAGAGAATGTCTATTCTGCTGGTTGATTTTGTTATGATATTAATCTCAGTTGTCTTCATGAATGTTAGACTTTTGGTTACAGCTTCATTTTGAGTAGAAAAGGTTTAAAATTTTTCATTTCTCTTTCTTCCTATTTAATAGCTTTAGAGTTGTTTTCACTTGGCCATCTGGTCCCCCAGTCTATAAAAGGCCATATAATGAGATTTCACGGCTCCAATTTCATAATGATATTGAAAATATTAAACACAGTTTTTCAATTACTGATTCAGCAAGCTGATAAGGCTATGTCTTTATCAGTTAAAGACTACTGCCCTAGGTAATGAAGAGTTTTTTGGTTTTTTTTTTCTGTCTTTCATAAATGAGACAGACATTTCAATCAAACTTCTAGCTTCGCATACTGATTCTGGCTCTGGATTCCTGCCTCACATTAAGTACATTTTTATTCCTTTACCTGACAGGAGTAAATCTACCAGATGTCAGAACTAGACTGAAAACCCAATGGGGACCTGTGGTTTCAGCCTAGTCACAGCTTTGTGTCTATTCCACCTCTGGCCCACAAGATGTTTATGTTGTTTCAGAAACTGGCTACATTGTTTGTACTATTTAATGTAACCTATTGCTCTATGTGTTTGGAGCACAGGAGTTATATATCAAAACTCAGCATTACTAGATATTATTTTCACATTTATTAATATTTCCTTTAGAACATTAAACATAATTATAAAAGTAATATAATTTCATTACATAAAGTTTAGAAAACAATTACTCATAATCCACCCATTCTAACTTAACTGGTAGCATTTTAAAATATTTCCTTTTCATTTTTTTCTTCTACATCATCTTACTTTTATATAATTTTTATCATTTTAATCTATACTATGCCAAGCACTGGTCTATATTGCTAAGTAGTCTCTATGATCATCATTTTTTAAAAGTGACCATCATTTTAATGACTGCATATCAATCCACCAAACTGTTCAATTGTTAACTAATCCTCCACAATACTGAGAATTTAAGGAGCTTCCAACAATGCCACAAGAAGTTCTCGGTATGTGTTTTTTTTTTTTCTTCTCAGCACTGTGGATTTGGGGTGGTGGTACGAAATGCTAAGCAATGGGACTGTCGTAAATCAACAAAAATTATTAACACACAGGCATTATAGGACTAGCATAATACAAGGCTGAGGTTCATAATGATGACCCAGATACATGAAGAGAAAAGGTAAAAGTCACATGAAAGTGAAAAACGTTTTGCAGAAAGATTCCACTCCAAAATGGCTGACAATAAGTTTGGTAATTAAAGGAATAACTTTTACTAGGAATTAGGTTCACAATTCACAAGTGTGGATCATCTAGTACTGCTAGACAAGGCACACACATTTTCACTAACTCCTAAAACAAGTATATTGGGCCAAACTAATAAAGTTCACTTTTTCACAATAATACTAACCTGATATTATTTACACAGTCTTCATGAGCTTCAGAAAGTGTTTTTATGTGCTTTGAAGATATAGGGTCAAAAAGCAGGACTTCAGTCTGTTCACAAGCAACTGTCAGCACTGACCTGAAAGTAAACAACATATTTCTCATTTCTTAGCATTCTCTGGTTATTGATATTCACTTACATATAATTATACAAGCTATAAATCAATAACTTTTCCTGCATGTTAGTGGCAAATATTTAAAGGCTTGATACTACACACTCTTGCAATAGTAATAGGAAATGGTGCTTCCTGCCCTACGTTATGGGGGAAATGTAAACTGGTGCAGCTTATGCTCGGAGAACACTTCTAAAATGTCTATCAAAATTTTAAATATGCATATTTTTTGACTCATATATTTCTTCCGGAAATTTATTCTAGAGAAATAACCACTTATAAAAGCAAAGAAACATATACAAAGATGTGTTTCAGCAGGTGGTATGGAGGTTAAAATGGCTGGATCTCACATGATTCAGTGTACAGTTTGAGACTTGGTGGCTTGGAAAACATGCCAGATGTGTTTGTGTGCACACATGTGCACATGCACATGCATGCCCAAAATCCTGAGAGGAGAATGGAGGAGAAGGGATTGTGGCATGGCCAACCCCCTCAGCAGGGAGAGTGATTCACTGTCTGTCTGTCTGTCTGTCTGTCTCTCTCTCTCTCCCCCAGCAGTTGTATACACTCTACAGCAAACAAAAAAAGATATGCTTCAGTGATGGTCCCATGGCCTATTACTAAGAGAGCAGGATCTCACATGGCCACCCATGTAACCAATTACATTTTGATTCTTAGTCCTGGAGACTTGAAAAACATACTGGTCTGTGTGCCTGTATGCCCCAAATCCCATCAAGATAGAGAAGTGAGGGCCAGCAGGTGGCATGGTGGTTAAAGGCACTGGACTCCCACACGGCTGACCATCGTCCAAGTTCCAGACCTGTGGCTTGCTTTCTCACTTTCACTCTCTCGCTCCCTGATCAAATTGGAAAATAACACCACTACTAATAAAGTTATATAAAATGATTCTTTAAAAAAAATAGAGGGAAGTGGAGGAGAAGGGACTGCAATGTGACAACACCCCTTTGGAGGGTGTTTTCTCTTTCTCTGTCCCTCTCTAGCAAGTGTTCATGCCTTCCAGAAATTGGGGAGGAGGGATATATATACACACACATACACGCTTCATCGGAAAGATAAATTGAAAGCAATCTAAATGTGCATGAGAGATGTAATACTTAAGTAGGCGATGGCACATAATAGTTTGGAACACTGTGTAGAAGTGAAAATGAGAAGGGTCGCTATATATGGATATGAGAAAACTCTAAAATATTTTAAAATGAGAATGCCGGCTACAGAAAAGTATACATAGATGAAATAACTTAGGGGAGAAAATCATATACAACCAAATTATGTATTTCTTCAATAGTATGTATAAAATGTACTAAAAAAGGTCTGGTATATATCCTACCAGACCAGTCAGACATAGTCAAACCTATGTCTTTTTCTTTACGGAATTTCAGTTTTGTCTCTTGTTTACAGGACTTCCCTACTGCAAAGTTTTTTTGTTTTTTGTTTTGTTGTTTCTTTGTTTTAAGATAGCGTCTTGGGACCAGCAGACAGTGTAACGGTTATGTCACTGGACTCCCACGTAGTCAAGCACAGTTTGAGTCCCAGACTCGGTGGTTTAAAACCCATACCAGGCATGTGTGCGTACATGACCAAAATCTCAAGAGGAGAATGAAGAAGGGATTACAATGTGGCTATCCTCCCTGAGAAGTGATTTCTCAGTTTCTATCTCTTTGTCTCTCTGTCTCTCCAGTAAGCTCATTTGCCCTCTAGCAAAAATCTCTCTTAAGGGGCTGGAAGGTGGTGTGGTGGTTAAGGTGGCTTGATTCCCACATGGCAGACCACAGTTCGAGTCCTGGACCTGGTAGCTTGCTTTCTCTCTTCTTTCTCTGTCTCTCTGGTCAACCTACAAAATAAGTAAATAAATAAATAAATAAATAAATAAAATGACAACAATGAATAAAATTAAAGAATTATTTAAAAAAAAAAAAGAAAACTTTCTTAGAAAAGGAAAAGAAATTAGTTCTTGGAAGTTGGATAGAACTTGTCTATAAAATCAACCGGATTGGGGGTTTTGGTAATGTCAACTTTTCTAGGAATTGGTCTATTTCACTGAAGTTCAAAATTTTACTGGCATAAAGTTGTTCATGTTATCTTCTATTTCTAAACTTTGAAAACTAAAGTATAAAATATGCCCAGAAAAAAACACAAACTATACGAATGCATCACAATGAATTATCCAAAAAGGAACACATATATGTAGCTATCATCTAGGTCAAAAAATAGAACATTATCAATATTCCAGAGGCCTCCATTCTACTTCTTCTTAATCACTAAACCCTCCATACTACCCAAATGTAACTACCACTACCCTGACTTCTAATATCATCTCCAAAAAAACCTTTTAACAATAGAGTATGAATTCTCTTATGACAGATATATCATGCACATTGTTTTGTGAGCTTCATCCATGAGGTTGCTAGAACTCCTGCATTCTCATTACCAAGTGTGATTACACTGAATACACTATCATTTATACATTCTGTTGGTAGATGTTTGTGTTACTTCTAATTATGAATGTAGTTGCTAAAAATTATTATACATGTCCTGCAATACACTTACGTGTTTCTGCTGAATATATAGTAAGAGCAAAACTGAATTACAGGGTACGTATGAGTTTGATCATTTATAAGATAGTGACAAATAGTTTTACAGAGCTTCAACTATAATCTTTATTCCTTCTTACCTTCTTTGGTTACACAATTTGTTCTCTTTTGAGCTTGAGATGGCTGCTTACTGAGTTTACTTTCAGTCTTTCTCCTTTTCTAATATATGCATTTAAGGCCATAGATTTTTCTTTATATGTGACCTTAGCTGTACTGCACAAATTATGATATAGAGCATTTTCATCACTCAGTTTCAAATATTTCATAGATTACACTGTGATTTCTTCTTTGATTGTCAGGTTACTTAAAAGAGTATATCTAAACATAAGGAGATTTTCTAGTTATTTCTAGTTTAATATAACTTTAATTGAAGAATACAATCGACTTAATCTGAATCCTTAGAAATTATATGAATTTGCTCTTTGTATTGTCTGATAATATAGCACACCAACTTTAATTTAGTAAGTGTCAGCAATGATATGCTCTGACATCCTTTTCCTTTTTTTTTTTTTTTAAGAGAGATCTTTGCGATAGGGCATATGTGCTCACCAGAGAGACAGAAAGTGAGAAATCACCCCTGAGAAGGGTTAGGCACGCTACAATCCCTTCTCCAGTCTCCTCTTGGGATTTTGGGCATGCATGTACAGGTGCCCAGAGTGAGGTTTAAGTTGCCGGTCAGGGACTTGAACTGTGGTTGACTAAGTGGGAGTTTAGCAGTAACCATTATGTCATCTGCTGGTCCCAACATCTTTTTACTTTCAAAGTTTCTGTATCCTTAGATTTAAGGTATGTTTTCTATAAGCAGTTTTTTTGTTTTGTTTTGTTTTTTAACTACCAGAAGGAATATGTACTCACCAGAGGGAGAAAACCCCCCTCCACCCCCGTGGGGTATAGTCACGCTACAATTTTTCCATCCTGTTGGAATTTTTGCACACATTCACATGTGCCCCCAAAGTGTTTTTCAAGCCACCAGGGCCAGGATTTGAACTGTGGTGGGCCACATGGGATCCAGCTCCCTTAATCAACCCTGTGAGCAATTTTTGAAAATCCAATCCTGACAATCTTTCTTAATCAATTTATATTTATATAATTACAGTTGACCCTTGAACAATATGGGTATATGATACAACTGGTGGCTTGTAGGGCTATATTTTGTTTAGATGAAGGTTCATTATACTGTCAACTTTTATGTGTTTGAAATCATCCCTGAATAATCTTCAGCAAAATACTTTTTCCTCTTGTCAGCTTTCCCTCCTACTCAGATACACATCTACTGCTACAAGCTTTACTCAACTGTTATAAGGAGACACTTCAGAGACCTCAGCACAAGATAGATTAAGAAGAAACATTTGCATCATGAAATGGGACACAGCCTACCTCCTCACAATAACTCGGATTCTGTTTCTTTGTTCTTTCCTTAGCAAAATTTAGGTCTTTCTGTGGTAAATTTTTTCTCTTTATTAACCTACTGTTTTCAGCTTTTCTATCATGACAAGGCTCTTATCTAGCTCCTCTGACACACTAGTCTTCATTTAAAATTACTTGTACACTCTTCCCATTCTTATCTTGACGGTCACTACTCATTTTTCTGATCTTGGTTCAAGTGTCACTTCCTCAGGGAAACACCATAGTCCACATCAGGTTCCTTTAAGCTTTTATCTTGGTTTATAGATATACACGATGCATCATTTAATATGGCTATCTAATATCTTGTTGAAACAGTAGGTCCCAAGCTCAATGAAAGTAGTGCCATTAGTTGATTTTGCTCACCATGTTACTACTGCATTTAGAACACAGCACACATTCAAGAAATATTTGCTAAATGAGGAAATGAACTAATGAACAGACTAGCAACTCAGAAGCCTTGATGGGACACAGGTTATATTAACTATGTCATCTCACGGTGTAAGTGTGTACACTTGATCCCTTTGGCTGATATTAAACGCATGTACTCCTGAGACAGTTTTAGTTTAATTTTGCCAGAGGGCACTCCCTGGAGAAACAGAAGTAAAGTGAGAAAATAACCCCCAGGGGAACAGTCATTTCACAATCCTGTCTCCTTCCTTGTGGGATTTTGGGCAAGCACACACACATGCCCAGCATGTGTCTCAAGGGACTTGAACCTGTCTGTAGCTGTCTTAACCAGCAAGCCATGGGCTGGCCTGATAAGTTTCATCTATTAATTTTTTCCCCCTTTTTGCTATTGAGTGCATGAGAGAGAAAGACAAAATGAGAAATCATCCCCCAGGGATTGGCCACAAGGAAAGCCCTTCTTCTCAGAATTTTGTCTGGGTCATGGGATCCAGCGTCATAACCAGGCCACTTGCCGGCCCCAGTTTTGTTTTGTTTATATCAAGTAAAACTCTGTGAATTCCTTCTAACTCAAAGTAAACCAAAGTTACCAGGCAAAAGGCTGGAAGCATGTAACCTAGCCCGGAAACTTCACCAATGGACCGTCTCATGGGCCGCCTCTCTGCAACGTCTGTCTGCCCGCCTTGGTCAAAGGCGTGCACAGGTGTGGCAAGCTGCGGCACAGCGGGGACTCCGTGGGCTCTCTACCCTGGACAGTCTGGGTGAGGAAAAACGCAGACACAGGCGACGGCGAGTAGGGGTTGTATTTACTGGACGCCTATTCTGCCGCCTGACAGACCCGCTCTCCTTCAGAGCCTCGGAATCCAGGAGAGGCACAAAGACGCCTCCTTCCCGAGCCAGGATGCAGGCTGCAACAGCGATAACGCGCTCCAGAAGGGCAGAGGGCACGAAAGCCAGCAGCCTGGGCCCTGAGCTGCGCAGCCGGACCCGGCAGCAATCAGGGGGAAGCGAGTACCTGCCCTCCGAGGGGCCGCGCTTACCCGTCGGGCGAGTACTCGAGGTTGAAGACGGCCCCGTGGGTGCGCGTGCTGAGGTACACCGAGTCCGCGGGATGGATGGAACCATAGAGGTTGGTCATAGTGCGGAAATTGTCCCGCGCCGGGTCCACGAACAGCCCGCGGCCCAGGCTGCGTTCTCTCAGCCACCCGAACAGCCGGGCGCCAGGGCCGCTCAGGCCCGCGCTGAAGC